AAAAAAAAAAAAAAAAAAAAAAAAAAAACTTTCAACATTGGCTCAGTGCCCACAGCACAGTGGTGACAGCATCAGCCACATACATCAAGGCTTGCCAGGTTCGAACTCAGCTCAGGCCAGCTAAACAACAACAACTGCAACAAAAAATAGCTGGGCGTTGTGGTAGGCACCTGTAGTTCCAGCTACTTGGGACGCTGAGGCAAGAGAATCGCTTAAGCCCCAGAGTTTGAGGTTGCTGTGAGCTGTGATGTCATAGCACTCTACTGAGGGCAAGATAGTGAGAGTCTGTCTCAAAAAAAAAAAAAAATTTTTTTTTCAACATGAGTCCAGGCACTGTGGCTTATGCTTAGAATCCCAGCACTTTGAGAAGCTGGGCAGGAGGATCACTTGAGGACTTTGAGACCAGCCCCAACAACATAAGGAGACCCAAGACTCCACTTCTACAAAAAATAGAAAAACTAGTTGGGCACAGGGGCATATGCATGTAGACCCAGATATTCAGGAGGCGGAGGCAGAAGGATGATTAAGTCCAAGAGTTCAAGGCTGCAGTGAGCTATGATCTTGCCACTGCACTTCAGCCCCGGGTAGCATGGTCTCAAAAAGAAAAAGGCAAAAACAGGATTATATTAATCCTGCTAACCCTGTCTTGTACTAGGTGGCTTCATTAGACAAGGATTTTCTTTAATGGAATAGCTATAAAATTAAGATTCAGCTTTAATATCTAGAAATTCCAGGGCCAGGTGAAGTGGCTCATGCCTGTAATCCTACCACTCTGGGAAGCTGAGGTGGGTGAATTGTTTGAGTTTAGGAGTTCAAGATCAGACTGAGCAAGAGTGAGGCTCCATCTCTACTAAAAATAGAAAAACTAGCAGGGTGTAGTGACACAAATCTATAGTCTCAGCTACTTGAGAGGCTGAGGCAAGAGGCTATGGCACATCTCCTGGGAGCAGGACACAACTACAACAGGGACTTTACCAAACAAATGCAAACATTATAATCTAATTCTTTGTACCCTCACATTAACCTGAAATAAAAAAAAAACACCAAATTGTACTCAATATAGCTAAATAGTTCATAAGTCTATACTCCAGGTATTGGGAGACTCTTGGGATGGTTAGGATATAGCACAGCAATGATTGGGATGTGAGTTAATTTATGGGCTCTCCACCATCTGTCCTTCCAGGTAGAAAGGCAATGAAAGACTTGTAAATTTTTGCCCTAAACTTTGGCAAATAGTGGGAAGGCAGAGAGTTTTTCTTTTATCAGTTTCTTCTCAATTGCCTTCAACTCAAAATTATACTTACTTTGAGGTGGCATATTCTGGTCTCCTACTTTGGGTTTGAAGTAGATCTCTTCTTCCTCTTCGCTATCATTAATCTTTTCATTATCTTCTTATTTCTATAAGGCAAGTAGAAAAAAATTGTAAAAAAAAAAAAATGCTAGAGTAATTAATATAAACCACTCCATACCAACCCCATAAAAATGACCAATAAAATAAAGAATATACTCCTGGAGTTCCTGAGTAGTTTGCTCCAAAATGTAAGATGATGCAAAAAAAGGCTTTATGTAGGCTCAGCGTCTATAGCTCAGGGAGTAGGGTGCTGGCCACATACACCAAAGGTGGTGGGTTGAGCCTGGCCTGGGCCAGCTAAACAACGCCAACTGCAACCAAAAAATAGCCAGGCATTGTGGCAGGTCCCTGTAGTCTCAGCTACTCAGGAGGCTGAGGCAAGAGAGTCTCTTAAACCCAAGAGTTTGGCATTGCTGTGAGCTGTGACGCCATGGCACTCTACCAAGGGAGACACAGTGAGACTTTGTCTCAAAAAAAAAAAAAAAATGTTTTATGTAGTAAGCAAAGGGACAGGACTGTGCACTTATTCTCAGGGCTCCTATTCTGTATGTACCAAGGGGTCTCACTTCCTTTACCCTTATACTCTCCATTCATTCTTTCTCATAACTACTCCCCATTCACACAAGCTTATAGGTGTTTGCTTTTGCAGTTTTTGGCCGGGACCAGGTTCAAACCAGCCACTTCCGGTATATGGGGCCGGCGCCCTACTCCTTTGAGCCACAGGCACTGCCCAAGCTTATGGTTTTACCATTAAAAATTTTTTTTAAAAGGAAGAAAAAGAGAGGAAGAAGGGAGAAAGGGAGGGAGACAGAGAAAGAAACCTCCTTGAGATTACTGAACTATCTATCCGCCATGCCCTCCTTCTAGGCTTAGCAAATGAAGATAATCAACATATTCAGCTCCTAGCTCTGCATGGGCTCCACTCCACCCTACCGCACTCACACTCTGGTTTCTCCTGACTCCCACAAGCTACCCTCAAAAAGGGCACCATGGTGGGTTGCAGTGGCTCACTCCTGTAACCCCAACAATTTGGAAGGCCAACATGGGATGATTACTTGAGACCAAGTGTTCAAGACCATGCTGGGTGCATAGTTAAACTGTGTCTCTACAAAAATTTAGCCAGGTGTGGTGATAGGAGTTCAAAGTGACATTGAACTATGCCATGACACTAAAACCTGAGCAACAGAGTGAAAACCAGTCTCTACAAAAAAAAAAAAAAAAAAAAAAAGAAGTCTAGTCCCAATAGCACAGCATTCATCTTTACCCTACACCCTATATGGCCACCTCACTGCCAACCACCTCCATCTAAGATTCTCTGCCCATTTCTTTCTTTACTCTCTCATTCCCCAACTTCTATTTATGCTTTCTCTGTCCTCATTGTCTACGTCCCATCAATATGCTGATTCCCTTCAGAGTTCCTTCCTAAACCCTTTCTTATAAGCTCTTATCAAAAATGTATGTGGGGGCTCAGCGCCTGTGGCTCAAGTGGCTAAGGCAGCAGCCCCATACACTCAAGGTGGTGGGTTCGAATCCAGTCCGGGCCCTCCAAACAACAATGACAGCTGCAACCAAAAAAATAGCAGGGCGTTGTGGCGGACGCCCATGGTCCCAGCTACTTGGGAGGCTGAGGCAGGAGACTCGCTTGAGCCCAGGAGTTGGAGGTTGCTCTGAGCTGTGATGCCAGCGCACTCTACCCAGGGGACAGCTTGAGACCCTGTCTCAAAAAAAAAAAAAAAATGTATGTGGGAATATTATGCAGCCCTAAAGCAAAGTATCTCAAGAATGGAAGAAAAAGTATCCAATGTACTCAGTCCTACTATAAAACTAATTTATAGCTTTAATATGTAAGCTATAACCCAATTATAGCCCAAGAATATGGGGAAAGGGGGTTGAGGGGAGGATGGGTGGAGGAAGGGTAATTGATGGGAACACACCTATGGTGCATCTTACAAGGGTACATGTTAAATTTACTAAGTGTAGAATATAAAGGTCTTAGCACAATAACTAAGAAAATGCCATGAAGGCTATGTTAACCAGTTTGATGAAAATATTTCAAATTGTATATAAAACCAGCACACTGTACCCCATGACTGCATTAATGTACACAGCTATGATTTAATAAAAAAAAGAATTAATGTATTTGACAAAAAGGGAATTTAAAATATGGATGATAAAGACAATGAAAAGAATCAAGAAGAATAATCTAATCCCAAACCCAGCAGAAGAAAAAGAAAGAAGAAACAAAACCAAAAAAAACTCCCTTAACTTCTGTCTACAGCCCTCTCATACCTCTCACATCACTTCTACACTATTCCATCACCACAAGATGAGTTTTATACTCATCAATGTCAACAGAAGTTTCAACTATACTGACTTACTAGCAGTTTCTAAATATATATCATTTTATCCCCATGTGTTTTATTAGCTATCCCCACAAGTGGTAAGCTCATCCCCATTACATGAAATTTCCTCTGAAGTTTCCTTAATTTACTCTAATATCAGTACTTCCCATATATTTTCATAGCTTTTCTTACTTATTTTTGAGATGCTATATCGATTGGTAGGACTGAGACAGAAGGATTGGTTAAGGCCAAGGGTTTGAGGCTGCAGTGAGTATGACTATGTCTCTAAACAGACTTAAAAAACAAAAAAAATTCTAATATTTCTGGGGGCTTTTTCCTTTAGAATGGATCCCTGCAAGTGAGACTGAAATCAGATCCTGACTTGGCAGGTACTTTGTAAAGGCTGCTAAGAACTAGCCATAGTCATCTGAATTCTAGTCTACGACTATTCTTTTTGTTTCTTATTTTTTCTCATCTACATGGCAAAACAGCATGTTTACCCTCTGCCTTCTCCTACTACATTATTCAGAATGACATCTATACCTCTACTTTTCTATATGCCATGCTTAGAATATGTAAGGGTTACCTCTTAGCACAGTCAGGACATAACATATTATCTTCTAGGCCTGGAGATGGGAAAATGCAGGCTGGTAACAGGAAGAGGGAAATCATCCTCCTGGGAGTGGCAGGCACCCAGGCCTGACCTGCATGAAACTGTAGGCGGACCCAACCCTCTCTGTCTGCGGGGAGAGGCTCGCCATGGATCACACACCACCTAAGGCCTGGGGAAGCAAAGAGAAGCAAGTGTAAACAGCAAAAGATCAAGACAAGAATCGCCACACTTCTCATCGAGTCACTCTGGGTCTGGTTCTCTTACATTCTACTCACACATCCATTGCACAAAAAGCATGAAAAGCAGACCAAAAGACATTGCAATCTAACTTCACAAATAATATAGCACGAGGGATAATACTAGTTACCATTCCGGAAAGCTTGCTTTGTGTCTAGGATTTTGCTAAGTGATTTACATGTACTAATATGTTTATTTTTAAGTACATTTCTATTTTCTCTTCCTATTTACAGGTGAGGTAGCAGATGTTTATGGTGCTAAGTGTATTAATTTTCCCAGAATCAAGACATGCATGGAGCCAGGTATTTTGACTCAACCCATTTACCTAACTACTACATTGTACTGCTTCAACTACAGAAAACAGACCAAAAAAAAGTCTGTTTTCTCTTTTCTTTTTCTTTTTTTTGAGACAGAGTCTTACTTTGTTGTACAAAGCTCAGGGTCTATGGCATCATAGCAACCTGAAACTACTGGGCTCAAGTGACCCTTTTGGCTTAAACTCCTGAGTAGCTGGAACTATAGGCATCAGCCATGACACCCAGTAATTTTCTATTTTTAATAGAGATAGGGTAGGGGTCTCATCCTTGCTCAGGCCCAGCCTCCCAGAGTGCTAGGGTTATAGGCGTGAGCCACTGTGCCTAGCCTCAAAAAGTTTGTTTAAAAAGTGTAAAGAGGCTTGGAGCCTATGGCTCAAGTGGCTAAGGTGCCAGCCACATACACCTAAAGTGGTGGGTTCGAATCCAGCCCGGGCCCGCCAAACAACAATGACAGCTGCAACCAAAAAATAGCCAGGCGTAGTGATGGGCGCCTGTGGTCCCAGCTACTTGGGAGGCACAGGCAGGAGACTTGCTTGAGCCCAGGAGTTGGAGGTTGCTGTGAGCTGTGATGCCATGGCACTCTACCCAGGGGAAGAGCTTGAGGCTCTGTCTCAAAAAAAAGTGTAAAGAGGCTCAGTGTGGGCAGCGCCTATGGCTCAGTGAGTAGGGCGCCGGCTCCATATACCGAGGGTAGTGGGTTCAAACCTGGCCCCAGCCAAACTGCAACAAAGAAATAGCCGGGCCTTATGGTGGGCACCTGTAGTCCCAGCTACTCAGGAGGCTGAGGGAAGAAAATTGCCTGGGCCCAGGAGTTGGAGGTTGCTGTGAGCTGTGTGACAGCATGGCACTCTACCAAGGGCAACAAGGTGAAACTCTGTCTCTTAAATAAAAAAAAAAAGGAGGCTCCGCACTTGGGCAGCGCCTGTGGCTCAGTGGGTAGGGCACTGGCCCATATACCAAGGGTGGCAGGTTCAAACCCAGCCCCAGCCAAACTGCAACAAAAAAATAGCTGGGCATTGTGGAGGACACTTGGAGCTACTCAGGAGGCTGAGGCAAGAGAATCGCCTAAGCTCAGAGTTGGAGGTTGTTGTGAGCTGTGTGATGGTACTCTACCAAAGGGGACAGAGTGAGACCCTGTCCCTACAAAAAAAAGAGGCTCAGTGCTTGTAGCTCAAGCAGGTAGTGGGCCAGCTACATACACGGGAGCTGGTATATTTGAATCTAGCCCAGACCCACCAAACAACAATGACAACTACAACCAAAAAATAGCCAGGCATTGTGGTGGGTGCCTGTAATCCCAGCTACTTGGGAAGCTGAGGCAAGAGAATCGCTTAAGCCCAAGAGTCTGAGGTTGCCGTGGCTGTAATGCCATGGCACTCTACCCAGGGCAACAGCCTGAGAATCTGTCTTAAAATAAATAAATAAAAATTAAAAGTGTATAGCCGGGTGTTGTGGCAGGTGCCTGTAATCCCAGCTACTTGGGAGGTGGAGGCAGGAGACTCATTTGAGCCTAGGAGATGGAGGTTGCTGTGAGCTGTGATGCCACAGCACTCTACCCAGGGGGACAGCTTGAGGCTCTGTCTCAAAATAAACAAACAAATAAAAAGTGTAAAGAACAAGGCTAGGTGAGATTAAGGTGAACAGACATCCTGCTTTTGTCAGGACAGTCCCGATTTTTAACAATTTGTCCCATGTCCCGCAGTGTTTTAACAAAGTCCCAATTTTTGGAAAGAATGCATGACAAGCTAGGGAACAGCGGGAGAATAGGAAGGGAATAGTTTTCAGCTGCTGAAAAGGTTAATGTAACTCCATTTGGGAATGAAGAGGTTAATGTAACTTTATTTGGAAATGAAAAGGCTAATGTAAACTCCCTACTCCCCTCCTGGGCAAGGTATCAGAAGGAGACTGGCTCCCTCCCTTGCTTCTAGGCAAGGACAATCAGCTCAGAAGGAGCCAAACTGGAACAAACAAGTAGCCCCTCCCTCCCTAGAGTAAGGTGACCAGACGTCCCACTTTTGGTGGGACAGTCCCAATTTTTAACAATTTGTCCTGTGTCCTGAGGCATTTTAAAAAAACCCTGATTTTTGGAAAGAATGCATGACAAGCTAGGGAACACAAGAGAACAGGAAGGAAA